AACGGAGCGTCCCGTCGCGTCGTCTGCTTCCGCCCATTATCCGCAGAACATACACGACCTGACGAAAGACGATAAATTAAGACTTGCAATTACCTACCTAGAAAGTGACTCCGAGCGGCAACCGAAGCGTCCGACAGACAGCTAAGCCCCGGCCACACCTGGGTTTGTCACTGAGCGGGGTCGTTCGGATGTGGGATGCAAATCGTGAGCGCGGCATCTTGGCAGATTTCAAACCCGCGATGCAAATGAATAGACGGAAAACAACATTCCTCGCCGCTAATCCATTTTCGGTGCTCTCTCGACAGGACCGCGGCATAATCGATCCCGAAACAACATTCATCATCATGAGTGTTTGCCCTGTCTCTGAATTTTCCACAGCCGAGGCTGAAACCCATGTTTTTTTCCCCTGGAACATCTCCAGCCAGAGCATACTCGAACGCTATCCTCCTTCAATTTGGAAAGATACGATCATCTGCTCCGTGGGTAAGACAAGATAAAAGCCAGGATGGCTCTGTCAAATCGATGACAGCGTCGATAAACCCGATACGCGTGCAAGGCGATTCATGGAACGAGACATGAGAGGGCGGCGAAATCGACCGGGTCGAGAAAGGAGAAGAGGGATCAATCTTTGCAAGATCAATCTTGCTGAAAAACCCGAATGGAACGATAGTCTTGATGAGTCCGCAGCGGATGATGGCACCGGATATCGCAGACCCCTTCGGTGAAGATGTCCTTCTCCGTGACGATGTTGTGTCTGACCGTCTTACAACAAGGCTCAGGCCGCCGCGGTGTTTTCGAGACGTGAGAAGGTGATGCTCAAAGCCTCTTCATCGCGTGGCCGATCCTCTAATGATAACTATATCAGAGTTGAGATAACCTCTCATATTATAGTCACAAGTGACAGGGCTCCCGGTTGGACGATACGAGCTCCATGCAGTATTCTGCACGTTATGCAATTCGTGGCAGCGCGAGCACCGTTTCAGATTTGATCGCGCAACTTCTTCCCAAGGAGATGTTTGAGCCAAGTGTTCGGTCCTTATCCGTGCGAGGCATCGACTAAGTAATTTACCGTAAGGAACCACTTAGTTTGGGGTTATGATCCTTCGCAGACAAATTACCGAAACAAACCGATGCAGGCAACGATACTCGCGTTGGCGATCTAACTTAGGTTGCGGTGGTCAGGTGATCTCCCAGCGCGAAGGTCTCGCATCCCCGTCGCGAGATGAAGTTCACATGTCAAATAGTGGGCTTGGTTCAGGGCAACTGGCCAGACTCTCGAGCCATTAGTTTGCGTTGGCGATTGCGGAAATAAGCGAAGAAAGCTCACAGTGCATAATTCGTCACCCGATCCAGCATTCTTCACTTTCTCCGCGCTAACTCAAGTGACTGCCATCTATACAGATAGGTAGACGTACAATTATGTAGCCGCTGCGCAGTGTTTCAAAATATGGCCGCGGAAATTTCTCGAAAAAATGAATCCTCCCGCAATTACCGTCTACCGTCCCGCTTCGTCCGACCGACCGGAAAACCGCCTGTCGTCCTACTGTTTATACATGTGACTAGACGAAGTGTTTTTCCGCCGGTCGGATCGGTCGATCAGCACCTCGGCGTACTCAGCGAGATTTTCGAGCGAGGAACGATTCCCGACAAGACGCGCTGTTTTCGAAAACGCGGAGTCCTCTTCAAAAGAGAAAAATATGAATCCGCGTACGTAGATTGTAGATGAAGCGCGCAGCCCTGTGACAGGGATGAGCCGAGGTTGACTATGCAGAACCAAAAACTAGAGAAAAGTAATGCAGACATTGATTACGGTCTGCTCGCTATCTTCGACGTCGCAGCGCCACCAGTAGTTTGGTGACGCTGTCTGGAGCAAGAAACGGATTTCTGAACTGCTGGACAGAAAGGGTCAAAGGTTTCGCCTCATTCGTCGACTTCGTCGTTGTCGTCGTAAAATCACTATAGGCACACACTCCTCGCTACACAAAAACAATCCGAAAAAATGCTCGCAGACAGGAGGTAAAGAGAAAAAGAACGGTTGAAGAAAACTTTTCAATCAGAGATATCGGTTTCGTAGAATAACAAAACGATAGATCAAATATCGTGGCAATCGTCGTAGCTGTTAGTTGTTCTCGCTGAAACTTCGGTGCGTAACGAAGAGGGAGCGTCGTTCATGTGTCGAGTCCGGACGAAAATCGAGGAGGACACACGCTGCGAATCCTCAGCTCTGGCTTGAGCTCTCCTTTGTTCACCGCAAGAGCCCCCGGGACTCTTCGAGGAGAAGCGGCGAATCGAGTGACTCCCATCGCGACCCGAAGGATCCTGTAAGCTGTTCGTTTATGCTGATTATTTGATCATCGCTTGCGGCTCACTCAGAAATCAACTCCGAGTGATTCGTAAGAACTGTGGTCGAGACGGTGGCTGTGCTGGAGGTGGTTGTCGTCGTCGTATGAGGAGCACTTTGTCGCTTCAGTGGGTCTCCAGTTAGACACCAAGCGAGCAGCGGCGAGCCAACAAGGCATCGCAACTCCCGCGTACACACACAAAAGGGTGCGTGTGTCACCAAAGGGTTCGTGTCCGTTCTGCGGAGCGACCTCGATGTTTGCGACCACGTGAAGTTCGCACGGATGTGATGCTCAAGCTGATGCTATCATGGACATTTCGGGACGAGAGGAACATAGTCGCATGCGATTCCGCTTGAATCGCGGTCTGATCCAACTTCAGGGGAAGTGTTCGAATACAGAGCGTGCTGACGAGATTGTTAAGAGGAAGAAGTCAATCCAATCAGTCTGATCCGGGTCAGATCAAAGACGCCTCTCAGCAAGAGCTCAATCAGAGTCTATGTTGCCAACTCGCAAAGGATTCACTCCTTGTCCTTCCCATTGTCATATGACCCCGTCGGTTTCCCTGAAAGCATCCAATTGGTTCGTCTGTCGAAAGCCGTCCGAGGCTTTCTGGCCCGCCGGACGTAGCCCTCGCTTTCCAACAGCTCGTCCATCGAACGGACGCAATGCCGCTACGTCCATGTGTGTGATCTGTTTTTCCGTTGACCTTAGGTTTGTGACGGTTATGGAACGATATCGAATTGTCATTTATGATCGACGCTTCGCCCCCAACTCGTGCTCAGTCATCAGGTCCGAGGAGAGGAATCGCCTTGTCGATTGCTCAATGGCGATCCGAACATCATCATAAAAAAATCATAATAACAATAATATTACAAAAATTAGAATAGAACAAGATCTTCAAGCAATCCGAGGCATCGTTGAGCTTCAAAACTGGACATTCATGAGAATCGCGTGGAGTTTTCTCGATCGCGAGCCGTGTTGCGGTACCCCTTCACCCACGGTCAGATGTTTACGGTGCAATACGCTCGGTGCGGGAGTAATTCGACGATTTCCGCCAGATCATTCGATTATTGTTATCAACGAGTCTCTGATTTGTGAGCTCCGCTCTTCGTGCAGGGATCGCGGTTCCTCGACCTCCCATCGGAAGTATTTCGCTTCCTTGACGACATTCGTCTACCCGACCGTGTGGTTCCTCCGCTCCGGCGGAATTCATCTCCGAAAAAGGTGAAAATTCAATTCCTAAATCAATCGAGCTCCTGACGCTGGCCCGAGCTGCCAGTCCGAAACGATGCGACGAGACTCCGGAACGCTGACTGAACCCCAGGGATGAGAACAGGCTCTCGGCTGCCAGTTGAACATGAGCTTCTTGTCGTTGGTCGACGAGTTCTCTACGGAGCGCCACCTGGCGACTATTCGAGAAGCTCGCGCGGAGTGCCTTTCGACGGGACGGTCCTTTGGCTGGCTGACTGGGTGAGGGACTCGGAATGGCAACCAATGGGCGCACGCCATTCGACCCCAGCGCCTGCCCCCGCCCGCCACTGGCATGACCCAGCCTGCGACCGCCTAAAGTTAGATATACCACTTTGAACTTTGTACGCCAGCGACCGGCCGCCCGGCTGCGGCTGCTAGCGGGTTCTCTACAGACTAACGACGAACGAAGACGTCCAACAACAGATAGGCGACCAGAGTCTCGATCAGCTGACTCAGTCAGTCCGTTTGTCAGTCAGTCAAAGAGTGACTTCAGCTGTCTACAGATTTCTCCCAGATCGACCGTGTGCAAGGCCGTCGCAAAGAATTGTCAAATCGTTCGACACACGGTCTCTCGGTCGAACTTTCTGCAATTGTGTCCGTGCTCCACACCGTGCTCATCAGCTCCATCATCCACAGCTCTATCCGCGACCAGCAACCGGGGAATCCACTTGTCTTGAGCGACCGAGAGCGAGCAAAGTCACCCGTGTAGCCGATCTCGTGTCCGGAAACGTGGCCCGGGAGACAAGCGGGGGAATTCTAGAAATTCGAAAACCCCTGAAAATGAAGCCTCCGTCGAAAGTGCGCGAACAAGTTAGGTGCCCGTGATCATCGATAAATGGTGTCCCTCTCCTTCGAATCGTCAGAGACACTAAAAGTGCTTCCAGTGTTCTGCGACTTGTTGTGCTAATTGTGATCGTTGAATTGACTCGCAACTCAGACAAACCAGCGAACGAACGAACGAACGAAGCAAGCAGACTCTACCGAAAGTCAACCGAAGCGAGTTGCCGAGCGCGGGCACCGTCGACCGACAATAAATCCCGTCGACAAGTGCTCGATTAATCCGACAGCGACAGCAGCAACTGCAGCTGGTGCCTGGGTTGTTGTTGTCGTTGTCGTCGACTTTGACGTTGTTGTGACTGCCGCAGACCCAATCGATTTTGGGTGGCTGCGTCAGGCGGAGACCACGTTTTCAACAAAGTGAGAACCCACGAAACAGTGCTGCTCTATCAGCAGACTAGCGGCGCCGTTGCCGCTGGTATGGCATTAGCCATGACACCGTGGCGGGAACCTCCGTTAGTAGGTCTGGGTCTGGGAGATCACGAGCTGATGGGGATCCATCCCCCTCAGTCCGGCACCCCCCAGCCAGACAAGAACGGACCGACCGCGGCGCAAATGCAAGCGCACAACATCGAGTGCGTCGTATGTGGTGACAAGAGTTCTGGAAAGCACTACGGGCAATTTACGTGCGAGGGGTGTAAATCGTTCTTCAAACGTAGCGTGCGCAGGAATCTAAGCTACACCTGCCGAGGGAACAGGAACTGCCCCATCGACCAACATCACCGAAATCAGTGTCAAGACTGCCGGCTGAAGAAGTGTCTCAAGATGGGCATGCGAAGAGAAGGTACGCACTATGACCTTACGCGGCCTCCAAAGGCCCGCGGTCTTCATAATGTGACTCAGATGCAGTCGCATCCTCTAACAACATCCTCTACGACCCTACAATTGATTGGTCAGCTGGGCAGGATCTCGGCTCAGTTGAATAACATCGGCCAGGCCACATCAGGTCAGAGACTTGACGCACCACATAATTGTCACGATATTGTCATGTATTGACAAGACAAACAGAAAGAGAGAGAAAAACGAAAACGATCCCCTACCTCCCCCCCGATCCCTTTCGCTTCGAGCCGTCCCTGAACCCTTGATTTGTTGCCGTTTGGTAAAGTGCCGATGAGATCATTTCCATCAGAAGACTAATTTTCACAGAACGAACACGAAATCCTCAAGTTTTGAGTTTCGGACAATTCCCGGGAATCACAAATCGCAATCCTGCCTTCCCCCCTTTTCCCTGTTTTCGAGAGCGGGAAAATTAAGGTCGAAGACTGGTTTCGAACACGGCGTTCGATCCCGGGCAAATCTGCACGATCGCTCGATTGTGAGCTTTCCTCCTCAACCCACTGCATTCTGATGTGCTCGTTTTCCAATGCGACCCCGAGTAGTTTTGCCTCGTTGCGAGCTTAATCGAGAGTCGCTAACTGCAGTCGCTAACCACCTGATTCGAGCTCGCCTAATGCATACGTACATATGTACGCGCACATGTTAACAACATATGTTCCCGTCGTGATGAGAGCGTCCGGGGATTTGTGAGCGTGAGCTCATACTACCCGCCACCGAATCTGTTGCGCCACCGAACGTGAAGTAATTCGATTACTTGTATTCGTTTTAGAACATTTACACGCGGGACGGCTGACCGGCTAGATTTTACTCGTGCCCGTACAATACAGAGGAATAGTGATCGCGGAATTTTCTGGGTGTCTGCTCGGCTGACTCTTGAACCGACGGTTGCGGCGACGGCAGCCGAATCTGCTGTTGTGGTGGTGGCGGCCGGGCAGCCGAGCACGTTGCTGTCTCGGGTACTTCCTCGCTCGCTCACTGAATCAAAATTGAAGAGAGTCACACCGAGAGCAACTAACGAAATACTACCCGATTTCGCTGTTCGGAAACTTATCGGTCACCTCGCGCTAATTTTTATTGTTTCGTCCACCGGCGTCGACCCGACCGCACGATTCGGCGGTGGCCGAGGTAGCGGTCCGGGCGGCGAGCCTATCGCAAACGAAAACAATCAAGACTCTGAGCTCTTGGCCGATTCGTCGAATGATCGCTCGGTGCACCGAGTCCCCTAATCTCCCTCCGCACCTCTCCTGAAACTTCGACGTGTATTCACTTCTTTCTCATGACGTCCTTTGTTCTACTCGTCGCCTTTGACGGTCTCGTTTATCTCCCCCTCGTCCTCAGGGCATATGCACCCACGTTCCGTAACTCAATTCGAAAAGTTGCTCGGAACCGAAACGAGACGAAGTCTCCTAATCGATCTTTCGTTCAGATATTTCTTGCGGCGAAAAGCGCGAGATGATCTCGGAGCTTTGTCACCTCCGCTGACTAGGTCTGGTTCGCTCCCCGTGCATAAACTCCCGAAGTCGGTTCCCCGCATCGACAACAATCGTAGCGCACAGATTTCGAAAACGAGTCGCTTCTGTGGAAGTCTTCGGTTTTTTTTCGCCCGAAACAGCGGGCTGTATCGATACGAAGAGCATCTCCATCTCCCCGGCAGCGGGATCGCTTTACAACTTTGCTTCTGGACGGATTATCCAGCCGGCGTCAGACGGACAGACACTCACTCACACACACACACGCACATAGATCGAAATAACTTGGATGTAGCCTGAATACGATCTCTCCTCGCTGCCTTTCCCTCCATCCGTAATAAAGTTCGTTAAGGGTAGCAGAAAAACGGCGAGATCTTCGATTTGAATTAGCGACCGAGAGTCTGCCAGAAAACCGAGCGACTCAACATGGATGTTTTTTTCTTGCTGCCATTTTCGACCGGTGATTTTTCGGGCCGTGCTCAGTGTCCACACCGGAGCAGAGTTGAATGAGATTCAGAATGTAGTTTTCTTGTGCGTGTCCAACGTCTCAGCAGCCTGTGATAAAGCACTTGGAGGCATGGAAAGGTCCGCCATACCGTGACCTGGCTGTGTCACGCAATATCCGCTTTCTACGCTGGCTTGTTTGACGGCTCTGGTTCACGCCGGTCGTCGAGGAACCGGCGGCGGCTACTGAGCGAAAACCATCTTCAGAGAAAGTCCAAAGTCTTTCAAACGGAAATACGTCCGTTGGCGATGCGACTTTGTCGCCGGTCGTATTCGGAGCGCCCATCCGCAAAACCCAGAAAAAAGCTCTTCGTTACTCAAGCTCACCATCGGGGGATGTCCTCAAGGGACTCGGGGAATTTGACCAGCGGAATTCTTTTGCGCCCCATTCCTGTTCATCTCGAAAGGCTACGGAACGGTCGCAGCACAATTAGCGAACGAGTTTGTTAAATGACCCCGAATGCTCCTCCACAAACGTTGGAATAGCGAAGTCCGCTCGCTGAATGGCTCATACGGCGGTAGGTTACTCGATGCTCGGCGACGGCTGCTGCTGCCGCCGCTCTGCCAGATCCGAAGCGTGTCAGAGTATCCGGGTCATTCCATTATACTGTGATGACGGCTCGCCATCGACGACACCATCAATTGTCAAAAGATATCCGATAAGACCGAGTTCCTTAATGAGTCGACGATATAGCATTTTACATGGTCAGTTTCCATGTGTCGGCAGGGGTCATTCACGGATGACCATTCCGTGGAGCTCATTGTTGCTGTCGCCGGCGTTCACTCCGATTGGGAAAATGAGTTGCATTCAAGTCATTTACGACCTGACGAAACGAAGGAGCTCTGCGAGCGAGAGACCGGTGTTCCTGTCGTCGGATTCCTTTAACTCTCCTCTTTGAACCTTGTTACTGGTCCCAGCTATTCCCGTTTCCTTGTTCGTTCTCCCCGACTCCATAGGAGCCCCCGGTGGCTCTCCTCTTCCTCGACCGCATCATCTCAGAAAACCGCCCGCCCGCTCGGTGTCCTTCGTTCTTCCTTTTGTGGTTTGCTGCTTCGTGTTCTCCATTTATATGACTTGTCAACCACAGCAGCAGCAGCAGCCGCAGAGTATAACGGGTGGGTGCGGTCGTTCGAACGACGACGACGGCGGCGGCGGCGGCGGGCGGGCGTTCGGTCGGTCGCTCGGCGCTGTTTAACACCTTCGCTGTCTCGGCAGCTGCCCGCGCAGCGGAAAATGGCAAGTAGTGACATTCGATACAAATTAATGGTCGAAATCACACCCAGCCCGACGAAAAACGAGCCGAGTGGTTCCGATCGGATCAATGACTGTAGTCGAGCGATCAGCCCACAACACCTTGCTCACTCACCCAGCGGTTGAATCGGTGCGCGGACACACGGGCGGGCGGATGGACGATCAGACAGATAATCTACTAGCAGCGCTTTAGGAACTCTGTTACTCTGAATTGAATCAGCTGTAATCGGCTTAAACAGAATCACGCCGGATGACCTATAGCCGCCCTGGTCAGCCACCCCGATACCCGGTCACTCGGCCGAAGTATATCGATACAATGTGTACTCGATTCGAGCACCTCCGGTGTTATTCCGAGAGCTGCTCCTTTCACACATACATAGCTCCGATCGGCTTGTTGACACACGAATTCGTAACGGGAATCGAGGTCCACCAGCTGATGCCCGGTCCGGGTTGACCCAATAGCGACCATTCCTCCGGATTATTTAAAAGCGTTGCTGGAAATCTCTTCCCGACGTCACTGGAGTTCTTCCGTTGAAAGACTCATGGATTGACAATTTGGAATTCCTTCGTGTACTAGGGGAACGATAGTCCGTCCCATGCCAGTCGGTCATCTGTACCGGAAATCCGCCGGGGAAAGAGAGTTCCGTCTAGGTTGCGCTTCCCGTACTGCATACTCTGCGCTGGCTGCTCGCAACTCGGAATCGGCGACATCGTCCGCTGAACAGCGACGAAACAAAAACTCTCGAAAAGCTGCCGATGGTCAAGACAAATGGTAAGGCTCGTTGAGCTTAAGCTTTTTTTCTCGATCCTCCGAGGATGAAGAAATACAAAGCGACGAACGACCGCGACCGCAGGGTCGAGAAGGGCAATGATGAATTTAAACTCGGCTGAAGAGAGAAGAGCGCGCCATGAGCTGTCTGCCCGCCCGCCCCCAGCCCATCCCCACCATCCTGCTTGCCTGCCTGCCTGCCTGACTGTCTGTCTGTCTGTGGGTCGCTCGGTCGGCCAGCGATGATGTGCGGTCTCGAGGTGTTGCTCCATGACTCAGAGTTAGCTCAAACCGCGCGACTAGATCCCCGACACGCGACCCGCGCGCGATAAGTTTTTAGACCACAGTCCTTCGCAAGCTCGCAACGAAGAGAGCGCGAGAATGCGCGTCAGGGGAAGCACTAGCGGTTCCTTGAAAGGTAAACAAGAGACAGAGAGTCTAGGTTTTCGTCGCGATCTCGATTCTCAAGGTGCTCCCCATATTTACATGGCGTTGCATGCGACGAGAGCGCGCGGAACGGTCATCGTTCCACCATGTCGAGCTCTCGTACATCTCTGCCGCGACTCAGATCGTTGGACAGCGTGTCCCAACGGCGAGCTCAATGAAATTACGGATGCGACGAGGCTGGCTAACGGTGGACGTTCACGTTACGGAGGAATGAAAAATGCAGACGGCGCGGCGTAAACCTCGTTCGCACTCGGAACCATTCCGACGACGAGGGCTACACGAGCGACCCAGCCGAAAATTCGTAGGATTCGCTCGGTACTGGAACATCGTTTACTTGCTTGACAAGTCCGCGCCGGAGACTCGGCATAGTTCACGGTACCGGTTTGAAGCATGGGAAAGGAAAGTATCGGGTTCGGAAACAGTCAACGACGTTTTTTTGATTATTTTTTTCCAATCGAAAAACGGAAAGTATTGATCTCGGGTTGCGTCCTGATCATTGTGCTGGTTTCTTCTTCTTCTCCTCTCAGCCACCCAGAAGAGAGATAGATACGAGCGAGCGGCAAGCTAGCAGGCAAGCAGGCGGTGGCGGCGGCGTTGAGCACCAGGGGTCGTCCGTTGCTTGACCTCTGTGAACCGGTCTTCTTGCTGACGCTAAATGCACAATTCTTCGGCTGGCTCTGCTTCGAGCTGCTTTTGCCTGGCTGCTTGCCGGCCTGCTTGCCAAACAGACGACCAGGCAGGCGAGTTGGCCAGCCAGCCGGCCGGCCGCTGCCTCGCTCACTCGGCTTGCTCGCGGCTGGCGGACGAAGAGCGCATTGCTGCAAGAGACAGAAGATGCCGAAAGTACGGACAACATTTTCATCACTTTTTGAGCTGGCGGCTCGTTCTGAGTCAAATCCTTGCTCGTTTCCCTTAGTCAAACCAATGAAGTCGAATTTTAGCATCGTTTCCTCTTGAAAGGGTCGCTCCGGGAAATTTGTCTTTGTTTTGGACAAATCGTTCCCACCCATTTTGTTTCCATTTTTCAACTTCTCCTTGTCCAATTCTCCTCGTTTACGGACGTTTTCTCCTCCCCTATTCACCGCACAATCCGAAATGTGGCCGCGCATCGTTCATGCTTCCCGAGTGACCCATCATTTGGGTGGCTTTTGATGAGACAGTTGTAAACGCTCGTTTGCGCATGATTGCGCTCTTCCCCGCTTGGGAATGAATTTCCTCCTGAGATTCCCGTTTCTCGATCCCCGCCCGCTCCCCGTACACGCGACCGACTACAGAACAAACACTTGAGGTGTCTTCACTAACAACATGTGACATAATCCAAACACTCGAGACCTAGTGGTAAAATGGACAGATTGAATATCCAAAGAATTTCTCGATTCGGAGGTTAGATTCACTCTTGGTGCGAATAAGTTGTGTGTGCGTAGGGCTCTGACCGATGATGTCTTGGCTAGAACCCCTGAGAGGCATATCTAGATGATGTATCCTTCATGACATGACTAATTTTTCCTAAAACCTTCGAAAATTTCGATCCTTCTGACACGGATGCTGAGTGAGCAATCAACCCAGTGAAAGATTCCGAAATCCGAATAACTAACCCCTCAGACTCACAATCAGCTCTCAGTCCTCGTCCATGACTAACTCCTCTCATGGGATGAAATCATTATCATTAACGATCGGAAATGACGACCTGTTAACTCGGTGATGGGAAGGTAAGGCTCTCACTAACGATGCGTATTTTTTTCTGTGCTTGTTTGCAGCCGTTCAACGCGGCAGAGTTCCTCCTTCATCGCACGGATCTAGCGGCGGCGGCGGAGGACCCGTGGTGGTTCCATCCCTCCCTGGGCAGATGCCCGCCATAGCTACGTTGGCTAACGGATCGTCGGGTGCGGCGACACCATCGTCTTCGTCGAATGGATCGCCCCCCCAACACCTACCCCTGAACGGAGCCTCGTACATTTCCAGCTTTGTCTCGTTGCTGCTGCGCGCAGATAGTCTATCCCCCTCGAGATTTGTGCAGTGTATGGCAGGAGGCCAGAATAACCCCATAATGGGTATCGAAGGCATGTGCGAGCTGGCCTCCCGCCTGCTTTACTCGGCCATTGATTGGGCCCGCAACATACCTTTCTTCGCCGATCTCCAACTGACGGACCAGGTCGCGCTGCTCCGTCAGGCTTGGAGTGAATTATTTGTGCTCAACGCCAGCCAATGTTCAATGCCACTGCACGTCGCGACCCTCCTAGCGGCATCGGGTCTGCACGCTGCACCAATGGCGGCCGATCGCGTCGTCGCTTTCATGGATCACATCAGGATATTTCAGGAGCAGGTCGAGAAGCTCAAGGCGTTGCATATCGACGGTCCTGAGTACTCGTGCCTGAAAGCCATCGTTCTTTTCACGACAGGTAAGCGCAAATATTCAGAGTATACTTTTTTTCATAGTAGGTAACTTTCCCCCATACAGGAACTGCGGTTTAGGTTTTATGCCGCGGGAGCTCGCGGTATATGTATAGGTATGACCGAACATTCGAGTCTCTACTCCTCAAAAGTCAACCCCATCAATTTCGGACTCCGTTCTTTCGTCGACCCCCAGTCCTCCTTATATCGCTGCTGCTTCCGCTGGTGGGCGCCGAGCCGCCAGTCGTTTAGTTTACCCAAGTAGGCCTTCGTTGGGCTCATGACACTTGTGGGGTTGCTCGTTCTTGAGCAGGGGAGCAAATGGAACCGCTTAGCACGGAGGATCTAAGAACAGTGATCCTTCTAAAAGCACGTTCTCCTTTCGCAAAAGACTCTGGCCGTTCCCACAAGACCCGGGTCAGCGTTGTCATTTTCATCGCCGTGTCCTCGCTGAATGAAATTCAGACTCGTTCCGCGCACTGCCATTTGAACTCTCCACTGTTTCTCTTGCGTGTGAGAAGAATTGATCCGGGCTCATGTGAGTCCGGGCAAAGCACGATGAGAACGCGCCCGAGGTCTCATCGGTGGGTTTCCACCAGTGATAGATTGAGCTATAATCCTTTGTAGCTGCTATTTTGCTTTTGTTGGAGCCGCAACAGCTTGACTGATCGCGTGTACACCTTCGCTAGAAGAAGAGACGGAGCTGACAGGCTTCGCAACGAGATGAATTCAACTACATCTTCAGGAGCGACAGAACGACCGACCTTCCTTCCTGGTCCCGTTGGTTCGTGAGCACACGGTATTTGGTCGTTTTCGCCACTGCTGCTGTTCCTGCTGATAACGTATTTGAACAGTACCGTCCAAACTCGCGGGTCGAGTTGTCGCACAGCGGATCGAGAGGCTCTACGCCCACTCGTAGTGTGACTTTAGAATTTTCTGTACGTTTTTATCCGCAAGCGGATCGTGATCGCTTATTCCTCCGTATTTTCGTCCGACGATCGCTTGGCACCGATGTCCCCGTAGCGTGCGTGAGTGCGTGCGAGATCTCGTCGTATGCTCCGTTGTCGTCTGAAGGTTGCGATATAGATTCGAAGCCTTCGGTCCGAGCTCGGCTCGAAAAAGTGAGTACCGTCGTCTTCGTCGGCGACGGCAGACGGCTAGACCTGCTAGGGCAGGCGAACAAGTGAGCTTCGCGGAATGACCCCCATCCTCAATCTTGTTCGATTCTGGTCAGGCGGCCAAGCCTAGGGACGGTATCCTTGTCGGTCATGTCGGTCTATCCCCCGCAGAGCGACCTCTCTGCCACACCTCAGTGAGGTTCTCCGCTGCTCTATATGATGACCCAGAGTGCCCCACAAATTAATGGACACTGACTGCTCGCAGGCTGCCTGCCTTCCCGAACGAGCGACCGACCCATTGGGTGGTTCGCTCGCTCGCTCGCTCGCTCGATCTGACGAGTGACGTTGGGACGAACGCTGGCGCTGGTTGATAGTCAATCCTCGGTGGCTCGTCCGAACGTCCTACCTACGATCTACGGAGGCAGCAGGTCGTTCTACGGGACACCACTCACACCTTACCATGTGCCACGAAGAATTTGAATTTTCATCCAGAGAGAGGGAGAGAGCTCGAGCGATCGCGCAAGGAGCTCGACAGCTCTACGCGATCGCGCAAGGAGCTCGACAGATCTACGCTATCGCGCAAGGAACTCGACGAATCTACTCGATAGTCTCCGCTCTATGTTTCGGAGCAGGTTCGTTCTGACTGCTCCCGGACGCGTGTTTATGACTGGGGTTCGCTGGGGCAGATCTTCTGTTTTTGACGTACAGGTCACCGGCACGCCCTCGATCGGCCCCGTGAGCTATGCCACGGTCTGCTCAGGCGTTCTTCGAAGAGCGCGGATTCCGATAGTTTAGAAAAGAGGGGTATGAGTCGACGAGCAAACGACTGGACAGAAAAAGAAGCAGGCTCGAGAAGACAGTCTTAGCCCGTAATTATCCATATTAACATACGAAATCTCAGACGAGACGAAACGAGCCACATGAGTCTGCAGGTGCAGCTGGAGTTGCATTTTCTGTTCGAAGCTCTCCCCGTCCATCTCTCTCTCTCTCCCATATATGCTCCGACAAGAACGGCGTTATCTGGTGAAGAATCTTACGCTGACTTTGGCTGAACCTCTGCCCCCTGTACCGTTCTTTCTGTGGTGCTCCCAGATTTTTTTGGCGATGCTACAGCGGCAGCGGCGGCGGCGGCCACGATGGCTGTGGTTGCGGCGACGGTCGGTGACGTTGCATCCTTCCCGCTCAACTCGAAATTTCGGCTCCCGCTATGACTGACTCCCCTGCCGAATTGTCAACCGGTCGGTTGGCTGGTTGGTAGCTTGATTGTTGGCTTTTTTCGGGATGGTTTTTTAACGACGACAATTCTTCTTCGAGGAGAGGTATCTTCCACGATACTAAGCGCGGTCACCGGTCGGCACCAAACGCTCCCTCTATGCTTTCGGGGAAAAATGGACGAACCGACAGTCGGGTGGTATTACAGATACGTGGAGAGATATATGTACGGATCAACGGACAGACGGACAGACATACGGAGGAAACTGACGACGTTGCGCGTTGTGGTCACGACGTACTAATTAAATAGCATCGCGAGGTATCGTTCGCTTAGCCGATGCTTCTGCGATAGCAGCGATCGTAGAATGGTTACGTTGAACCCTTCGCCGGCGCACCGAAGAGGCCTTCTCGAGGGTGCTCTATTGGAAAATTCGATTCAGATTTTGATCTTCAAACCAGTCAAAGCATCGGACTGGGATCCACGAACCCGTGAACTTCTGGGCGGCTGCGAGAAAACCCCGCTCTCCTGATTCGATATCCTGGTACGAGAAAACTCGACTGTAAAGCGGCTTCAGGAGCTGCGAGAATGTCGAGTGTGCGCCATCGAACCGTCCTGAGGGATCCAAAACGAAGAAGTATGATGTTCAAAATTAACGACAAGTGGATCGCTATCAGACCACCAGATTTGTTGGGGTCTTGCCAACCCCGCAGCCTTCCGAATACGCTGTTGAATGGATGAGTCTCTAGGTCATCGATTCAGGTCTATAAACGATAGACCTCAGTGAATTGTATCCCAGTGACTGTCATTAATTATTTATTCGGCAACCAGGCATCGATGACGACAGGTCCGAGTAACTCGGATGCCCCAGAGTGACGGTGGATCGATACGGAGCTTCGTATTTTGTCCATCTCGGAGTTTGCCTTCTCGTACGGAAACGCCGACCTCACTAAGGCTCTTCGCGGGACACTCCGATGCCAAAGGAACAGGTCCGTTCCGAAAATGAGCTTCAAATCAGTCGCAGGCAGTACGTGCTGTGATTTCCCCGTAACGCATCATGTCGCTCACTTGAGTGAAGTCCACAAAGAACCCACAAAGAAACGTTAGCTAGCGTATTCTAGTCGTACAGCGTGACGGTCAGAGTACCCCAAATGAAGCATCGTGAGAGGCCCAACGTCTCTGGAGGGGGCAGCGGAAGTAGCGGCCACAAACAAGTGTGCTCACGAAACATTCCTTCAATAAAGCACTCGACCGAAATTCTTCGTCCAACTTCGACCATTATTCAATCTACGCGTCTGGATAGTCCGTTGTCAAGTGTAGGATACGCGCGACGGCTCGACCGCCCTCGGACACCTCAGGCTCTCGCTGATGGAAGCTATTCGTGTTTTCATCGCACCCCAAAAGCTTGGCTGAACGACTAGCTGCCCAGGAATTAGGATTTTCAAGGGCGGATGCTTGTCAACTCTCTTCAGAAGAGCGTTTGGATCAGTGGATTCCTCCCCGTCCCTTACGGGAAATGCTGAAGGTGCCTCGCTAAACGGCTTATGTTTGTCTTACGATTGTCAGCCGGACCGCGGTCATTGCAATCTTCAAACGATTTCGCGGCGAAGGTGTTTAGCAGCGAGAGAGTGCGAAAGGAAAGTAGTGTTGTATTTGTGCCTGTCCACGAGAAGCTGACGCCGTCGGTTATCGAGCTAGCCACTTTGAGGCCGCAACTTGTTGTGTATGGCGACTTGTCACAGTTAAGTTCGAGCGTTATCACTCGGAGAAGAGCACGAAAACGGAGGAGAAAGGGAGGCTTCATACGGAATCGACGGCGAAGAGCGTCAAGGAGCAGCATTGGGAGCAAACAAACAGCCGGCTGTAAAGAACGTCTAATGATGACTCCTCTTTGATTTCATCTGATAACAGTGCTCCGGCGGAGGCGATCTCGATCGATTGCTGCTTACCGCCACTTCGAGTGCTGCTTCTGAATTCCTGATCCGAACGAGCGACAACCCAGCTCCTGTCTCGGCGTGTGGACTTCTACAAGATCTACCGTCTCCTCCGCACGGAGAAAAAACGGAGAAGTGTTCATACACTCCACGAACATTGTTTCCTCCCGTCGGAGTTCGGAAAACCGGCGCCAAGTCACCGTCTCCGGAGACTCTCCCCAAGGGCTGACGTCTAACGCGCGGATACGCGGTAATCACTGCAATCGTTTCTGACGACTGTTGAACAGTAATATCAGCTGTGGAACTGTCTGATTTTATTTCTGATGCGACGTCTTATCGACGCAATGACCCGCTCGTCTGGAAGTCGGAACGGAGGTTCGGCTTGGAGGAAAAGTACAAGTGCTCCGTGCCGCCGCCGATGGCTCGGTCTATTATTCGCGCTGTCGGAGTCGCAGTCTGAAGCACCGGGTCTCTGATTCTCAAACGGATCGAAGCCGACGACCACAACGGCTTATGCGGTGAACTGATTCCGGCGGCGGGCGCTTCATTTGACACAATCAATGATCGATGGTCACAATCTCCACTGACTCCTAATGTGGGTCATTGGTCATCGCCGTCGACCTGTTAACAAATACGTGAATAATCCCCGACGCTTTTCGGACAGCGCACCGGCAAGGGGCTAATGGCCCCTCGTCAGCGTCATCGAGCTTGAAACCGCGACATATGAATGAAGTTGCGCTTAGCCA